CTTACAAGACTGATTTACGATTTCTTTATGTAAGTTTTGGTGAGAAGATAATTTCAAGGTTAGCTCATGAAGCACAGCCCATAAGGACTAGCTCACATGGGACATTAATTCAGAGGAACTAGAAAGTGGACCAGCATTGTGAGGGCATGAGCTAAAAGCGACTAGGGCTTGTCCAGACCAGACTTCTTAAAAGCAGAGTTATTACTCACTGTTTCTCCTAAAACCAGGTCACTTATTAATCAATCAACAGATATTTATTAGGCATATTTCCCCTACTTTTTGTTTTTATAATATGGCTTTGGAGTCAAATCAAGACCATCCTCCTATTTTCTTTTTTTTTTTCTTTATTATTATACTTTAAGTTCTAGGGTACATGTACACAATGTGCAGATTTGTTACATATGTATACATGTGCCATGTTGGTGTGCTGCACCCATTAACTCATCACTTACATTAGGTATATCTCCTAATGCTATCCCTCCCCACTCCTCCCACCCCACGAAAGGCCCTGGTGTGTGATGTTCCCCATCCTGTGTCCAAGTGTTCTCATTGTAAGACCACCCTCCTATTTTCTAAGACTGATTTACGATTTCTTCATGTCCTGTTGCCAGCAAGACATCATGCAAAGGTAGGAAGGAAAAAAACTGAAAACTGAGGTTTCTGATGCCAATGCACTGGGGAATCACCTGCTTAGATAACTGGTAGCTGGTTTTCCTCCTGCCCCTCTCATGCAAGATTGCTTTAGATCGTAGCTACTATATTTATGTCTACTCTCTTCTCTTTAGAGAGGTCACCCATTTCTCCTCTCCTTACAGACAGCTGGTGCTAGCTATGTCATCTAATCTTTCTTTAATCAGCTTCATCAGTTTTCTTTCCATTCCTACCTTAAGCAGTGACTGACGGCGGGGGCGGGGGAGGGGGGTGGGCAAAGACAGTTTCTAACAGTTTAAAAGAGTAAAGTTTAAGAACGGCCAAATAACGACTCATCATCATTAAATACAACATCATTTGAGGCAGCACTTAGGCTCCAAATTCATCTCCAGTTCTCCTAATCTTCACTTTGCAGAGATAAATCAAAGAAAGATTTTCATTTTCACACAATGCTCACATAGTATGTGTCTTTAAATGGTCATTACAATTCAACTGTTGCTAAGATCTACAATTTTCCTTCTAATTGACAAAAACAAATGTAGACAGGTTCTTGAAAGTGATGTTTATTACTAATGAAAATAGTACAGTTGTATACATAGGAAAAGATCCTTATTTATTCATAAAGACTTTAAAATATTTATTTCTAATTATCCAATAAGAAGAATAGAACATTTCAATAAAATAGTACAGTTAACATGAATTTATTTGATTCAAACTCTGGATAAAATGTCATTATAAACAAGGTGAAAAAGAAAAGTCCTTCATTATCCATACTCCATATTAAACATATGGTATGTACACTGTTGCTTATGTATCATCACATAGTCCTGATATGTGAAAAATTATACCTGTATTCTCTGATACCACAATTATTTTTTCTATATATAATCTTAATATTTAAAGACGTAATTAAATATGAGAAAAAACACCAGGATGAGGAATCATTTAACTTAGGCTGTAGCTATAACCGTGTGGGCTGAGGGCAATGTTTTTAACCAGTCTTACTATCCCAAGGGGAGTGGTTTAACCTGTCTCTCATTAGCTCACAGGAGTAGCGTAAGGTTTTACAAAATGCATGACTCAAGGAAATTTCCAGGCAATTCTTTACATCATGGTACTGTCCCATCTTCCCACCTTCCACCCGGATATCCTTTGTGAAATACAATGCAATGGATTTCAGGATTGTGACTGTCACATTTTTCTGCATTTATTACACAATTGGGAGTAGAATAAGCTAGAATCTTGACTCACTACAGCTGGATTGTAAATAAGGAAGGCTGGCCCCACCCATTCCTACTGGGAATTGTTAGAAATGTTTTAGAAAACAATAAAACAACCCGTTTGGGGTTTGTTTTTGTTTTTGTTTTTTTTGCTAAAACATCTCAATTTAATAGTTATTCTACTTCATTAGCTTTTTCATTATGAAATAAATATGTTGTCTTTTCTTCTGCTTGCAAAATGAAAATTCAATTCAGGGACAGAAAGATGTCAAAGTAGCCATTGTTGAAAACAGAAATAACATAAAGCTACCAAAAAAATCATGAAATGGAAGTCAAATTTATAAAACAAGCATACAAATGAATAATTAGTTCAGGTATCATACTTCAGCCAACCTACTTTTAGAGCCTACAAAGAATATTTGTGCAGTTTCCAACTTTTTGTTAGAGGTAATATTAAGTCAGAGTTGTTCAACCACATTACAATTTAGTGTGGAAAAAAAGGAAAAGAATAAAAAAGAGAAAGTGGGTAGGAAGAGCCAACCCATGGTGACTAGATAATGCAGAAGAAAAACACAGAAGGTGGGAATCAAATAAGGTAAAGCCTGTACTTGTTTTATTATATAAAGTAAATGGGGCCGGGCGCAGTGGCTCACTCCTGTAATCCCAGCACTTTGGGAGGCCAAGGCAGGTGGATCACCTGAGGTCAGGAGTTTGAGACCAGGCTGGCCAATATGGTGATAGTGAAACCCCATCTCTACTAAAAATATAAAAATTAGCCAGGCATGGTGGTGGGCATCTGTAAGTCCAGCTACTCAGGAAGTTGAAGCATGAGAATCGCTTGAACCCAGGAGGCAGAGGTTGCAGTGAGCTGAGATCACCCCATTACACTCCAGCCTGGGTGACAGAGCAAGACTCCATCTCAAATAACAATAATAATAAAGTAAATGGGACTTCAGGCAACATAAATGTGAACAAATACCCTTACACCTTTGCAATGGTGAAAATGAAGCCCTATTTATCAAATAAATTCCCCTTTATCCACAACCCATACAAAAGGATAGTGTATGTAATTCAGTTATAAAGGCTACATCTGTAAACCACCACAGTATCTTACAACCTTTTATAATAATATTTTTAAAATGGTAATTTACCATGCACTTTTACTGCTAACTGCATTTTATTGTTTTCAAATAAGGTGATAGTCTTATTGAATATTATATTGCTAGGTTAACAAGAACGTTCTAGTACTCAGAAAATTTCATTCCTCAATTGTGCAGTGTAAACGAGAGTTCAGCCTAAGACTTTTAAACGATGGCATGGCATTAAATCACCTTTGAGGAAGGTCTTTTAGAAAGAAGCCCTTTAGGGGTAGTTTTTTCCATCAAACTAATAGCTCCTTTAGTGCTTTGCTTTGTACATGAGTGGATCTTCGCTGGGGAAACTGTGTTCTTCAACCTTTCAACAGTGGTTCAGCTATAGCAAAGGTAGGACAAAAGTTGTATTCCTCAACTGAGGCCTCCTGTTCTTTCCCTGATAGTTGAGGGGTTCCTTTACTCTTCCATTTCATTGGTGTGTAGCAGACATTCATGAAGAGCTAAGTGTTTTGCTCTTGCATGAAAAGGTCATGCATAAGGAAATCAGAAATGGTGACGTGTGTCAGAATTCCCAAATTCCCACTTCACTGCTTAGTTTGTGGAAAACAACAACCCTCCTTTGGCTCAGTTTGTGCTTCTCCTAAGTGTTCCACATGGTGACCTGCCCTAGAGGGATTTGTGTCCACCTGGAATTCTTCCAGCAAGCACACATTCAAAGAGTTGCATTTTGAGGTTAATTTGTGATAAAATATATTTTCATCTAACACATAGTATAGGAAAACAGTTTGCAATCTTAAGCAGAAAATTTTGAAAGTTTCATAAATAAAACTAAGCATTTAGTAGTGACAAATATCATTAACACTTAAAATATCTTAAAGATAATTATCAATTACTTTTCAAATGGGCCCAGTGAAAAGTGTCTAATTATCCAATATTAAGACTAGAACATTTCAATAAAATAGTGGAAAGTGTACCTATACTGAACTGTTAGAGGATCCATTATGTGAGTAGAGAATGAAAGGAAATACTAGGACAAGGGTGCCACCTTGGCGCGGGCATGCATGCGCATACACACACACACACACACACACACACACACCCCTTGTTATCCACACATACTTTGCAAAATACCTGGCCATCTTCGAGGTTTTCACTAGTTTTACTGTGGCATACACCGAGCCCGGATATTTAGTTTCCAGTATCCTCATTATGAGCAGAATTGGCAGTCATCAAGTTGAGGAAAAAAAAGTGAACCAAGTATTTTATCTTATGGTCAGTTTATACTAGTTTTTTATATCTGGTCAGAAATAAATCAAAATGTTCAGAATTGGTTTTGGCAAACATGAAAACATCTAGTATAAAGTATCTGCATTAATAACAACCTAATGCATATGCAATTTAATAACATGATGATGATTATTTGGCCTTCTCAAAAAAACACTAGGGGGAAAGAGGAAAACTTCCATTTTCTGTCAAAATTTATATACGGTATGGACTTCCTATCTGTTCAGTTTTTTAAATATTTTAATAGTAATAAAAGCTTTGCCCTGTTTTACATAAGCAGGAGTTAATTTAGACTGGAGGTATTACACAAAGGAGAAGCAATGAAAATGAGCTAATCTATATTATGTGAGGTAGTTAAGTGCTGTTTTCCAAATTAATATACCAGGAACTGGAGGAGAGACAGGATTTGCCCAAGACATCTTTAGATCTCAGAAGCAATCAGGGAACCTCAGTCCAGCAATCAAGAAACAAAATATAATCTCAGCACTGGGGTCTTGACCTGACACTCACTTCCTCCCTGCCCATGTGATTAAATTTGTCTTTAGATTAATGGGAATCTTCTAAACTTTATTTAGAAGTTTATTATTGCATTATTCCTGAAAACTAAAAAAAAAACAGACATTAACATAGTTAACATAACAATAATGTGGTCCTGATTAATATGCTCAGGAAATGCAAAACACTGATAGAAGCATAAAAATACAACCCTAATTCTATCCTGCAGCAAAAAAGTTTGCTTTTTCTTTAGCAGTTTGATCAAAAAAAAAAAAGAAAGAAAATATTTTATTTAGATGAATGCCTGACTATAAACTACCCACTAAGACTACTTCAAAGGTTTTACTTCTACCCAACAATAACAAATATGCTCCAAAATATTCCCTTACTAAGCCAGACTTCTCCATGTAAGAGTCTCACCTTATTTTCCTATTGAGAAACCCGAGGCACAGTTCTTAGGAGACACCCTCAATGATTCAGAAGCAGACAGCAACTGCAGCCCTAACTCCCAAGTCCAGCTTTTTCTTGTAGAATACTTTCCAGAGGTTATGTAGTTTTCAATTTCTTTAAACACAGCTTTCAGTCTTTATAGAAATAAAAATGGTAATATCTCTTACTACATTCTGAAAACTCAAGCTGAAAAAAAAAAAAAACAGTGTGCCCTACATTTAATGTTTTAATAGAAAACTCTTCTTCCAACAGTATTCAAAATCCAGGTTAATTGTATGACATAAGCGACAAGTAATTTCCATCTTCTCCAGGCTTCTAATCAGTTTCAGAACAGGAGTTTTGGTTAAAGCTCTTCCCTGCCATGAAAACACAAACAGCAATTCAGTAAAAAAAATAAATAAATAAAATAAAAGCAAGAATGTAATAAAATGCAATTACTGTCATAGATCACTAAGCTATACTCCTAAAATCATGAATACTTTCTATTTTTTTCTTTCTTTGAAGGAAAGTTGTTCTGTGCTGTGCTAAAAAAAAATTTCTAATCCATTCTACAAAGACCATATGATGCTCTAACTAATCCTGAATCAAAACCATTGATATTTTTTGGGCTACCTGATATATGAAAACTCTGAAACTAAGTGAAAACTGAAAATGCTATATGGATTATGTGCCTGACATCTTTCTGATGTCTTATTCCTTCTACGACCCTCCTCAGGTTACAGAGCCTGTGTGGACTTTCTTTTGTGTCACAGGGTCTTCTAGTTCAAATCTTCTTTGTTTCATAGACTCTTTGTGTGTATTTTAATGTTAGACAGTGCACCAGAAGAAACAGAAACATGTAGTCAATCTGCCTATTCCTATAAGGCTCTCCTGAATCCTTCCTTTGGATATCTTAGACTAGAAAAGACTCATTTTTAATTCAATGAACACATTCAGGCAGGTAGCTTCCAGAGGCTTCTAAAGGGCCTTAGGAAAGACAAAAACATTCCTGTTCTTTCTGTTGGATACTACTGAAATGGAGCTGTGGGTCATCTGCTGGCTGAAGAGGCAGAGATGAATGGATTCTCTGGTTTAAAAGGCAGATGCCTGGTGATATTGCTCTGGCTGCGTTCAGCAAGACTGGCAGCACCTCCTAGGAGCCAAGTCAGATGTTCAGAGATTTTTAGAGTTATCTCTACCATGCACATGGAATTAGATTTCTAAGCATCTTTCTCAGTTTCCTTAGGTATCAGTTTGTCCCTTCTCTGAGAGAGGAACCACGAGCAAAGCAGCCACCTATCAGAGAAAAAGAATTTTGAGTAAAGGGGCAGGGGTTCCACTCAGGGCCATAGGTGTTATTCTGACCCTTCATTAATTTCTTGTATAAGCATGCATGAATTGCTCTGATTTTTCTCTTCTAAAAGCCAAGCCAGAAGATACCTGTCTGGCCCTCCATGAACACATACTTCCACGAAGGCAAGAGGAGGACCAAATATCAATACCAAACTGTAATCCTACCCAATACACTCAGCTAATGCCCACGATGGCGTCTCTTCAAGATAGTTTATTTTGTAACCTATGTCTAGTTATGGATTCTGAGAACAAAGAAAAAAATTACAGATTTGCCCAAAATGCATCCTGAGAAAAGCAAATAGGAAAATTAAGATTAACATGATAGAGGCAAGAAATACAGTTTAACGAGATTTGTAATTCAAAGCATACTGAAAAGTATCTACAGAAATGGAATTGAGGGCATATGTTGCAATATGTGAGGACTTATGGCTACTCAAATGTTCTTCAAAGGAACTATCGATGAAAAATATTTTATGGCATCACATCAGTCAGATCACTGGTGAGATCTATGATAACAAGAGAGAATATATGAAAAGACTATGTGTAGTCCAGGCATCTCTAGTCCAAAACAGACAGTATCTTAGTTTTACAGTTTCTCTGCCACTGGCTATCACTGTCATCTTGAAGGGACATGTAAGGGACAAGTAAGTCCCTTCATGTCTCCAAGATTTCATTTCCTCAAATAAGAAACACCCAATTTTACAAAGCCCTTATAAGGAATAAATGAGAAAATCTGTGTGGACATGCATAAACTTCGAAGAACTCAACAAATGTTGGTTATCACCGAGACTCCTGTCACATGGACAAGAAATTCTGTGCTCACTCAGGTGTGACATTATTCTAGGGCAAACTGTTCAGTCTGCAGTTCGGGGTAGGGGGCTGTTCCAAAAGCTTACACTTGTTGCTCTTTCACAAACGCTGCAAACTCAGGATCATTGGCATACAGTTCCAAAACTCTCATTCTCTCTTGAATTTCCTTAAACAAAAAAGAAATAACAGGCCACACATTGCATCAGAAAAACCTCAACAGCCTTTTAAAAGGAGTTCTACTTTTCATAAGGAATTGTTACATTCTGGGCTATTCAGGAGTGTATTATAAGAAAGAATTACACTTTCAGAGAAATGGAAGGATCTACATACACTCCTCTGGATATTACATGTCCTGCTCTAAATCAGACATATTTCTAAGGAAGAAAGGGAGGAAGGAGAGAGTACCAGTTAATAGTGCAAAAAAAAAAAAAAAAGCCATTGAGTGGGAAATAAGGTACTGCTCGGAATTTAATACTCAGTGCATATCATACTGACTGCGAGATATGAGATAAAAACCAATTACTAAATATTTTTTACACTTTCTTAAAGTCCATATGCATGCACACATACACTCATACACACCCCCACCTGCCACCCATCCACCCCCACCCCCCACACACACACCAGCAGTAGCTGCAACAGCAACAGTACAGCAACATAAATGCAAAGTTTCCCACCTCTCTGGAAAGCTCACTGCTCTCATACATCTGTCTGATTTCTTCTCTGCTCAGCCCACCAATCATGTCTCCGCTAGCAGAGCTGTAGAAGGGATGCTGAGGATAGGGTCCCTCATACTTCTCACATCCAGCCCTGTGACTTTTATACACGGGGTTGTACTTCACAGCATTCTCAATGGATGAGAGGCTGTCAGGCTGCCTGCTGAAGCCACTAAAAGAAAGATAAGATTGATTCAGCCTCCTGTTTGGATGCTCAACTATGTGGGGAAGACTATTTACCTGGGACAAGATTTCTCTTGGGGAAGAAAAATACGTGCACTTTACACACATGGCAGGACGTAACTGTGAAAAACATCCAGATCAATCCCAAAAATTATTTGTCAGGTGTTATCATTATGATTCCCTCACATCCATGGCAAGTGCCCTGTGGACTTGCTCCATGTCGCATTCATCTTACTTGCCATAGCGCCTGGCATTCATAAATGTTGGGAACATGTCTGCCAGTAGATGGTGCTTCATAAACTGTAGCTTCATCATTCCCAGAGTTATACACATTGAAAATCAGTGTGTAGCCACGCAGCAAATCTGACTGAAATATAAATATTAGGGTCTAGGGGAAGCAGGGCCTCAATTAAATTCAACTCAGGTCTACACATATTTACCGAGCATTGATGATGTGCGTAGGACTGTTCTACACACTGGTGATACAAATAATCTGTTATCCCTGGCCTGGATGAGGTTATAGTCTAATGAAAAGTCAGATACAATAAAAAGTATAATAACAATGATGGAGGTATGTACCAGGTGCTCCAGGACTTAGCCAAGTTGATGGTGAGGGAAGGTAAACTAGACCTCAAGCTGTAGCTCTTACAGACTTCAGACACACAGAAGCGAAGTACAGTGTGTGATTATGATCCTCGAATCCTTAGTCTAGCAAATGGACCAGGTTTTATTTCCCCATCGATGAAGCAACACTTAACTAAACAGAGAATGAGATTTCATTTATTGACAGACCCTTGCCTAGATTTAAAATCTGGCTTATTACCACCAGTATGAGCCAAAGAGGAGCAAGTTGTAACAGATCTGGTCCTCCCTGAAGGGAAATTCACCTCTTCTATCTTATCTCCATCTTGCCTCTCCAAATTCTTTCTGGCCATGAAATAGGCATTCTGGCCACACTCAACCATGCCTTTCCTCCAGTGAGCCTTGAAGTTCATGCGTGCCTCCCTGACTCTGCTCATGCTCATTCAACCAGCTAGAAAGCATCCCAGCCCAAAAGTAGCAAATGTCTACTCTTTCTCTCCAGCAAATTACCACAGCTATCATTAAAACTTTTAAGACTCTTTCCCCAGGCAAAACTTATTTATACCTCATCTAGGCTCCTTAGCATCTTATTCTTAGTGCTACTTCTGTTTTTCTTCAATTTGGCACCCCTTTGAGGACAAGGACCATGTGTTTATTAAAATTCATAGCTCTCTTCCACCCACCCAGCTCCCTGTCCAATATTTGGCACCTGGTAAGTACTAAATAAATGTGTAAATGGAACATTGTATTCCATTAGAGAGTTCTTTTCCTTATTTACCTGAAGGGCCTCTCTCTTTCGCTCCTGTCATGGTGTGCTTGAAGAGTCCTGATGAAGAAGTAGATGATAGCAGAAAAGATGACAAGAAGTCCAACCACAGAGGCAATAGTGATGCCTATGATCACAGGCTCAGACACAAATTCCTCACAGTGCTTGCCTCGGTACCACCAGTTCTCACCCACACGGCACCTGCAACCAACAGTCACCAAGTCCGATATCTGAATCACTCTGTTCACACTGACAATTAACAGCAGAACCTTCTGAGGGACTAGGGGAAAGTGGAGAAATAAATGCTGACCATGTGAAGCTTCATAAAGAGTTGAACAGACAGGTTGAAAGATCATACAATTTAAGGCAGTGCATAAAGCCCAGCACAGACCTAGTAGGTCCTCAATGACTGTTTGAAAAAAAAACTGAATAAAAAGCTAAACAGGTTTAAGGAAAGTATTCTACTTAACATCCTTATTTATGGATAACCAAAAAACAAGCCTAGGAAGGAAAGTGACTGGCATTAGGCCATATAATTAGTCTGCTACAGAACTGGGTCTAAAACCCAGGCCTACAGACTCCCCATGTCCTTTCAGTACGCTAAAGATATCCTTCAAACTCTAAGGCCACGGGGAAAGGAAATCACTGCTTTTCTAGGTAATATTAATTTCTCTGGGCATGAAGAGACTGTTTTTCCCCTTATAAACTTTATGCTTCTTCATATAGAAGAGTCTGGATTATTTCTACTTATTTCCTGTTTCTGGCATCTATGCCAACGTTTGCTCATTTTGACCTTGCAAACTGTCCTCTATTTTGTGTTTCTCCTCCTTATTCTCAGCATCCTCTCCTTTTCAACCACACAGTTTTGGTTGTGTGCGGTTAGAAAGTTGATTTGTTTGACTTTGTTTAAGGGGAGTGGGCAGATGACAGACAGACAAACTGAACCTGCTCATCTTCTCATTGGTTCTACCATTAGAAAATGGATCTCGGCCGGGCACAGTGGCTCAAGCCTGTAATCCCAGCACTCTGGGAGGCCGAGGCGGGCGGATCACAAGGTCAGGAGATCGAGACCATCCTGGCTAACACCGTGAAACCCCATCTCTACTAAAAAAAAATACAAAAAACTAGCCGGGCGTGGTGGCGGGCGCCTGTAGTCCCAGCTACTCGGGAGGCTGAGGCAGGAGAATGGCGTGAACCCGGGGGACGGAGCTTGCAGTGAGCCAAGATCGCGCCACTGCACTCCAGCCTGGGCTACAGAGCAAGACTCCGTCTCAAAAAAAAAAAAGACAATGGATCTCAGATGTACTTAAAGAAAAATATTTTTGTCACCACTTTGAAAACTTTAAATATTTGTTTTTCTTTATCTTTGAATGAATACTAAGTAGGAATAAAAGGTGCCCAAAACCTTTAAAAATATAATTCAAGGATAACAATAAAACTCATTTGCACATTCAGATATAGGGGAACGTGATCTTATGCCTAAACCTCATTTGAACACGTTGCCTTATTATCACATTAAAAACTATAATACAAAGATCTCCATCTGCTCCAAGTACTCTCAGTAGGACTTTTTTTTTTTTTTTTTTTTTTTTTTGAGATGGAGTTTCAATCTTGTTGCCCAGGCTGGAGTGCAGTGGCATAATCTCAGCTCACTGCTACCTCTGCCTCCCAGGTTCAAGCGCTTCTTCTGCCTCAGCCTCCCAAGTAGCCCCGATTCCAGGTGCCTGCCACCACACCCAGCTAATTTTTGTATTTTTAGTAGAGATGGGGTTTCACCATGTTGGCCAGGATGGTCTCGATCTCCTGACCTCATGTGATCCACCCACCTCAGCCTCCCAAAGTGCTGGGATTACAGGCGTGAGCCACTGCATCCGGCCAGTAGGACGTATTTAGACAATTTTTTTTTTACAGTTCCCTAACAGCATAAATTACCGATTTGAAAATTCAGCCCTGTTAAACGACTCATCCTCACATGACAGTGAGATGGCTCCCATCTACTGCCTAGATATAACCTCTATAATGCATTCTATAATAAGTATCCTAAAATTACAGGCGCAGGCCCCTTTAGAGGAAATATCTATAGCCTCTAAAGCCAAAATCTGTAACTACAACATACCTACAAATGGCCCCGTGCCCAGGCATAATGTCACACTTTCCATCGTTCAAGCAGAAGTCAGGCTGTAGGTCACAGAGACTCTGACAGGGCCGTTCTTCCACACTCAGGTATCCAGGGAAGCATCTGCACTTTGCTTCTCCACTCCAGGGGTTGACCAGACACTCAGAAAATTCATTACAGGCCTGAAACTTGCAAGGGTTGGCTTCATCACCTAAAACATTAAACAAATAATATTGCAAGAAAATGCAAAACACAGAAATTCAGGTATACAAAGTCCCTCATTTAAAGTTCTCCCCCAAAGTATATGGGACAACCTCCTTCCAGAATTAAAGTACACCATCGCCACCAATACCACACACAAAAATTCTCACTCATCCTAGATTGATAAGCTTTTATCAAATTTTTGTGCAACCCAGAGCCCAATCATAAAACCCTATGACCTGTCTAAGCCTTAACATGTTTTACCTAGGGAGCATGTAGAAGCTTTACAAATCCATGCCATGTAATTATAGATCTAAGTTAAACACAATAGTAATTGTAGATCTAAATTAAACACAGTTTTCATGGACCATTCATTTCCACCAACCCCCACCTGCTGCAGTTGACCTCCACTCTATATACACTGCTACACGCCTTGCACAACACTGAGAACAGGAACGGGGAGAGAGCTCAAAAGATAACTGGCAGGAGCCTCAGGGATTGGTATAGCCCAATAAGAGCAGCCTAGGAGCAGTCAAGATTTGTGAAAATCAACATTAGGAAAATAAGTCAGCCCTGCACCTCCTAAGGCCATTTCCAACAAAATATTTTTGCCTTCAGACTTAATTTTTCATTGATAGGGTGAGGGAAAATGACTATTTTTAAAAACTAATTAGGATAGTAATCAGTCAAAAAAGACATAAGACATTGACCATGAATGGACCTTCCATCCTGCCACAGTTCCCTCATGTTCTTCACTGGTCAATGGTAATCTGTGAATGGTAAGTGGGCAAATGGTGACACAGACATTGAAAACAGGGGAAATAGGTGGAAATGATCCATAGACTCATCTGTATTAAAAAGTATAAAGTTTAGCTAGAAAGCTATAGGGAAGAAAAAGAAATAGCATAGTCTCTTCGTTTCCAAAAAAAAATGGAAGGATCTATATACATAATGTTTTGAAAAGCAATGATTTCCTTGCTGCTCTGGAAATTTAAGACAATTTTGCACAAGTCTCTGCCCTTGGAGTTTGGAGGATCACTGAAGTTGATCTCCTTTGGCCTCATGTGGTAACAGAGGGAAAGTACTGAGTTGAATAGTGTCCCCAGAAGTTCATGTCCATCCAGAACCTCAGAATATGACCTTATTTGGAAATAGAGTATTTGTAGATGTAATCAAGTTAAGAAGAGGCCATACTAGATTAGAATGAGCCCTAATGCAATGATTGGTGTTCTTATAAGAAGAGGGAAATTTAGACACAGACAAAAACACACAGGAAAGAAGCTATCTGTAGACAAAGGCAGAGATTAGAGTGATACACCTATAAGCTAAGGGATGCCAAGGATTGCTGGCTAACATGAGAAACCAGGAAAAGGTAAGGAAAGGGTCTTCCCTAGGTCTTTCAGAGGAAACAGGGCCTGGTCAACATTTTGATTTTCGACTTCTAGCCTCAAGAACTGTGTGAGAATAAATCCCTGTTGTTTTAAGGCACCTAGTTTGTGGTACTTTGTTACAGCAGCCCTAGGAAACTAATACAGGGGACCACTGCCAAGATGCTCACATAACAGGAAAAACATACAAATGTATTGACAGGTGGGAAATTTCTACAAGGGAACCACATGGCCAGATTTCACTGTATATTTCGTAAGTCTTCACATCTTTATCCTGGTGTTCGTTTTGTGACTTTGCAATCAGAAAATAATCTGATCCTTACCCATTGGTGAGGGATAGGAGTGTCTATAGGGGTGAGGAAGATGGTACTGCATAGCTCTCTTTTGTTAATGGAAGTTCAAGAGCTTCTGAGACACTGCATGTGAAAATAAGTTGGGCAAGAGTCAAGTCAATCTTGTCTCTAGCCAATCTTGAAAAAAAGTACTTTAATCTGAAGGCCTTTAACTAAAAATATAAGACTGAGTATCCCTTATCTAAAATTCTTGGAAGGAGAAGTCGTTTGGATTTCAAATTTTTTCAGATTTTGGAATATTTGCATTTATATAATGAGATATCTTGGGGAGGGAATCCAAGTCTACACAAAAAAAACTCATTTATGTTTCACATATACCTTATACACATAGATCGAAGGTAATTTTTCACAACATTTTAAATAATTTTGTGCGTAAGACAAAGTTTGTATATACTGAACCACCAGAAAGCAAAGAGGTCACTGTTTCAGCCACCCATGTAGACAGTCTGTGGCTGTTCAGCATCACCATCACGCTGTGCGTGGAAAAACTGTATCACACTGCAAGGAATTGTGAGAGTCTTTTTTCCCCTGGGTCCTCTGAATAAACTGTTGTGCATCTGCGTTTTGACTTCAGCCCATCACATGAGGCCAAGTGAAGACATTTACCCTTGTAGCATCACGTCAGTGCTCAAAAAGTTTCAGACTGGAGCATTTCAGATTTTGGATTTTCATATTAGGAATGCTTAACCACTCTACATGTAGTAAAATAATTCTAATAAAAATTTTTGAAACTTTGTAACCATTCTGCAGGTATATGTGTCTGAGGTGAGAAAAATAGTCTATATTTTCTACACATTAGGAAAAAGATATAGCCACAGGAAAAAGATAAAATATAGCTTTTTGCTTCCAGGCCAAGAAGAAAGACAAAGCCTAATATTTTAATCATGTAAATAAAAGATTGTGGTTCCAAAGTCTCTTTCCACTCGTTTGTGCTGGTGAAGAAAGGGTGCCCAGGTAGCTGACTATATGTTAGGAAAAGTGCCTCAGTGATTCTATTGGGGAAACAAAGGTAGTGTTGGAGGTAAATTTAGGATGGGAGACAGGGATCTAAATTGTGGAATTAATTACATTCTGGTTTTCTAGAAGCAGCTTAAAAGAAGGATAGATGGGTCCAGAAAAACGAGAGCAGAGGAAAGATGTGAAGATGGTCTGGAAAGACAGCTTTATGGCCTGAACAACATCATAGCTGGCTGGGTCCTGGGAAAAAAGTTGGTCAGTAAGAGATGCCCTTGAGAGGGTGGCACAGGAATTTTAGGATGGTTATGCCTAACGAATATTTTTAGGCCATCTGCCGTGCTGAGATAAAGCCTTCTCCATTACCTTTATACCATCAGCAAATGCCTGATGGAATCAACTGCCTTATGTTAGAGATGCTTTGAGCAGATCAAAAACAGGACTGTGATTTGCATTAGGTTAACACCACAAGAGTCGGGACTCATGTGAGATTGAAAATTCAGCAGAGGAAACTCAGAACTGGGGAAGATTAAGAGATATTTAAGTTCCCTAACAATGCTCAGAAATATTGAGGAGTTAGGGGAACGTAGATGCAGGTTTTATACTGCACAGGGTGGGGCTAATGCCAGCTAATTGAATATTAAAAGTAAAGGCGAGCTTATAAATCTTGATGACATTGCACACAGCTGACATGTGAGTTACATACAAAACTGAAGTAAGGTGGTGGCTGCCAAGATGGCCAAATAGGAACAGCTCCAGTCCCAGAGAGATCAATGCAGAAGGTAGGTGATTTCTGCTTTTCCAACTGAGGTACCCAGCTCATCTCATTGGGACTGATTAGACAGTGCGTGCAGCCCACAGTGGGTGAGCCAAAGCAGGATGGTGTGGTCACCTCACCCAGAAGTGCAAGGGGTTGGGGAACTCCCTCCCCTAGCCAAGGGAAGCCATGAGGGACTGTGCCGGGAGGAACAGTGCATTCAGCCCAGATACTATGCTTTTCCCACTGTCTTCACAACCCGCAGACCAGGAAATTCCCTTGGGTGGCTATACCACCACAGCCCTGGGTTTCAAGCACAAAACTGGGTGGCCATTTGCACAGACACCAAGCTAGCTGCAGGAGTTTTTTGTTTTTTATTTTTTGTTTTCATACCCCAGTGGCCAGCAAGACAGAACCATTTACTCCCCTGGAAAGGAGGCTGAAGCCAGGGAGCCAAGTGGTGTAGCTCAGCAAATCCCACCCCCATGGAGCCCAGCAAGCTAAGATCCACTGGATTGAAATTCTTGCTGCCAGCACAGCAGCCTGAAGTCAACCTGGGGCACTCGAGATTGGTGCAGAGAGGGGCATCCACCATTACTGAGGCCTGAGTAGGTGGTTTTTCCCTCACAGTGTAAACAAAGCCGCCCGGAAGTTACAACTGGGCAGAGCCCACCACAGCTCAGCAAAGCTTCTGTAGCCAGATTGTCTCTATAAATTTCTCCTCTATGGACAGGGCATCTCTGAAACAAAAGCAGCAGCCCCAGTCAGGGGCTTACAGATAAAACTCCCCTTTCCCTGGGACAGAGCACCTGGGGGAAAGGGCGGCTGTAGTGCAGTTTCAGCAGACTTAAACGTTCCTGCCTGCCAACTCTGAAGACAGCAACCAATCTCTCAGCACAGCACTCAAGCTCTGCTAAGGGACGAATGTCTCCTCAAGTGGGTGTCTGACCCCCATGTCTCCTGACTGGGAGACACCTCCCAGCAGGAATTGACAAACACCTCATACAGGAGAGCTCTGGCTGGCATCTTGCGGGTACCCCTCTGGGACAAATCTTCCAGAGGAAGGAACAGGCAGCAATCTTTGCTGTTCTGCAGCCTCCGTTGGTGATACCCAGGCAAACGGTCTGGAGTGGACCACCAGCAAGCTCCAGCAGACCTGCAGCAGAGGAACCTGACTGTTAGAAGGAAAACTAACAAACAGAAAGGAATAGCACCAACATCAACAAAAAGGACGTCCAGACACAGAAACTCCATGAGAAGGTCACCAACGTCAAAGACCAAAAGAAGATAAATCCACAAAGATGAGGAAACACCAGCATGAAAAGGCTGAAAATTCCAAAAAGCAGAATGCTGCTTCTCTCATAAAGGATCACAACTCCTTGCCAGCAAGGGAACAAAACTGGACGGAGAATGAGTCTAATGAAGTGACAGAAGTAGGCTTCAGAAGGTGGGTAATAACAAACTGCTGCAAGCTAAAGAAGCATGTTCTAACCCAATGCAAGGAAGCTAAGAACCTTGAAAAAAGGTTAGAGGAATTGCTAACTAGAATAACCAGTGT